GGGCAGGCGAGACCTCATCTCTACAATAAATCAAAAAATTAGCCGGGAGTGGTAGTGCGCGCCGGTAATTCCGGCTACTCGGAAGGCTGAGGTGGAAGGATCGCCGGAGCCCAGCAGGTCGAGGCTGCAGTGGCCAGGAGTGGCCACTGCACTCCAGTCTGGGCAACAGAGTGAGACTCCAACTCAAACAAAACAAAACAATCAGACTGGGAGAAAAGACCACCGTGAAGAAAATTAACCTAAAACAAGTAATTCAATCTTTGTCCTGATCTACAAAATGACCTTTAGAGATCAGCATTTCCCAAGCACTTTTCTAAAATCCACCAGTTAAAAAAAATTGTTCCCGCCGGGCTTGGTGGCTCAGCCTGTAATCCCAGCGCTTTGGGAGGCTGAGGTGAGTGGATTGCCTGAGCCCTGTGCCCGTGGGTTCGAGACCTGTGCAACTTGGTGAGACCTCATCTCTACAATAAATCAAAAAAATTAGCCAGGTGTGGTAGCATGTGCCTGTAGTTCCAGCTACTTGGAAAGTTGAGGCAGAAGGATCGCCATAGCCCAGCAGGTCAAAGCTGCGGTGGCTGGGAGCAGCCACTGCACTCTAGTCTAGGAGACAGTGAGACTCTAACTCAAAAAAAAAAAATTGTTCCCAATCCCAAATTAACTGCTAAGGTCCAGTGTCTCTAATACCTGTCTATCACAACTGCAGCACTAAGACCAGTCAAATTCTCAAATACCAGACATCCCACCTGCAAACTCAGGAACCTTCACAGTACTCCATTCATCCAGAAAGCCGGAAGCAGTTGTCTGTATAACCACCTCCTAAATCACACTCCCAACACTTAGGTTTTACCCTCATGAGGCATTATCTTAAGTTGCCAAATCTCTGTAGTGTAACTCATGGCAAATTCTGGGCAGTCTTCCCTATTCGAACCTCCTCTTGGTGAAGTGTTCCCCAAGTCTTATTTTCAGGTGTGATTTGGACTATTATTTTTGTCAACAAGGAATCCCAACTTGAAGGTGCTAGGTTACAAGTCCCAACAGCACCATACACTGCTGAGGACATTGCTGATGGCTACAAGAAGTGCCCTACAGCTGCTGAATGCCCGATTCTCACCACTCAAAAGCACATGGAATTCCTCCCACAAAATGAAAGGATAGCCAAGGGGGGGAACCCCAAAAAATCCAGATATATACAAAAATTGTATTCATTCTTACATGCTTAAATTTCAGTCACCTTCAAATTACTCTCCATAATTTGATACACCTATCTAGATGCTTTTTGTACTGCTCAAGTTTCTAAACTTGTCAGTTTCGAGGCCTTTGCCACTTTTTGTTTCATCTCTTCCACATCAGCAAAATGATTCTCTGAGAACTTTTTTCATCTGAGGAAAACAGGTCACCCAGGGCAAAATCAGGTGAATAGGGAGGGTGGGCCAAGGAGATCATGCAGTACATTCAACACAGTGTGGGCAGATGTAATCATAAGACACCCATCATGAAATGGGCAAATAAGTTTAAACAATATCCGAAAAAAATCCAGTGAAGCCAAACAGCCTCTCACAACAACACTAGCTAGTACGCTGATGCTGATGGGTTCCTAGAACACTTACCTAGTGAGAGAAGTCTGTCCTACAAAAACTAATTTTTTGGGGGTCCCCCCTCATATATATCTCCCTCCTTTAATGACTCAAGAGCCAAGGGTTATCTTTTGAGCTTTTATTGGAGCCAGGGATCCAAGAAGGGCATCAGATCTTGTTGAAAGCGGCCACGTCCATGGACTGCACATAGTCCTCAAAAGCAGTGATCTGCTCCTCTAGCATGTCCGTCCCAACCTTGTCGTCTTCAACCACACACTGTATTTGAAGCTTTTTAATTCCATAACCCACTGGAACTAGCTTAGCTAAAACAAACAAACAAACAAAAAAAGCATTTACAAAAGTCCTAGTTAGAGAAGTCCCGTTGGGAAAGGCTGAAAGTGTATGCAAATGCCAGATATCAGTTTTAAAAACAAAAGTTGAACTCACAAGAGCCCCAAACCAGGCCATCTGCCTGAATGCTCCTGACACATTCTTCCAGTTTCGCCATGTCTGTCTCGTCATCCCAAGGCTTCACATCTAGTAAGATGGAAGACTTGGCAACAAGGGCAGGCTCTAAAAAATAACCAACAGTGCTATTCAGATAATTGAATTACACCGTCTTACCGTACACCAAGACATTTAACAAATCTTCCCAATTTGTTTGAAACGAACCATCTCAAACGAAACTAGAGAGCACACTTTGTGTCCGTCACACACACAAACCTACTTTCTGTTTTGCTAAGAAAGAGGTGTTTCATCGTGTTAACAGTTTCTTTCCCACAGAGGAATGCCACAGCTGCCACTACCAAGAGCAGCTGTAGACCAGTAGCTGTGGAAACTTCATGAAGAGCCTCTACAAGGAGGCTTGGAAACACTGACCTATTTAGCGAACACAGTGGAAACTACTTCGGGAGCAAGCTATGAGAAAGACTACTGACATTACTCTGAATCAAAGTTAAATAAGCCAAGTCACAACATGACCTACTTTTGGCTTTCTTGGATTCATACTGTGCAAGGCGTTCTTCCCTGAGCCTTTTTGCTTCTTCACTTTCCTGTAAAGAAAAATGTAGTACACTTCACAAAGTTGGTTGTTCCTCTGCTAAAAGCTAACAGGGTCATCACAAAGGAGACCAGCTCTATCAGAATAAAGCAAATCCATCAGGAGCTCAGCCGAAAGATGGTGATTTGATTTTATTCATCATGTAACCAGTGAGACTTGGATTCAAGCCCAGGCAACCTGGCCACATATACACATGCCTATCCAGCCCATGGGTTTACTCTTTAGAAAAGGTGGCGTACCTCCTCATCATCAGATCCAAAAAGATCAATGTCATCATCATCTTTGCTGTCTGCAACTCCGCTTCCTGTAGTATCTTCCACATTAGCAGGACCGTATTTGCCCAAAGCTTTCTTCACTCCTGGCAAGCTTTAAAAAATTAATTCACAAGCTGTAACATCCTCTTCCAGACAAGACGTGAGAACCGTTTCGCTCTTTAATCGTTTTATCGCTTTTGTAATAATTTACCCTTTAACACATTCCAGTAACACAGATCATATGTTCTCACCAAACAGTGGCACCATGTACAACACTCACTACGATTTACTTTCAGTAGTAACATTTGTTGGAGATTTCATTAAGTATGCTCACTCCTAATGAAGAGTCCACTTCCCCAAACTTCCACCCTTGCAGTCAGTTTCAGAAGAATGACCAAGGACTGAATCAATGAACCACCCTCTCACCCCAGAGGCAGGCCACCCCCAGGTCAGGGTCAAGGCATATTGGCAGGGCAGTGTGGGGAAAGGTGAATTACTGCTGTCCATGTTCTACCTGTTCTGTGATAAAATGGAGAACTTCAGTCTCTTGGCCTTCTATGGTCACACCATTTAGCTCACAACACCCAGCAAAGCTACTGTGGCCTGGGTCCAACAGCCAGGGAGCATCCTGCCGAGCTCTCCGGACGGACGTTACCTGGCCTTCTCCTTCTCGTAGGACTTGATGTGATTGTACCAGCGCAGGGCATGACACAGGTCGGCGGGCGGTGGCCCGGACACCGCTTCAAACACCGCCACGTCCGCTTGCGACGGCACATACCTGCGGACACAGAGACACACCACACCCACCCCGTGATCCGTGGTACTCGGTCCTGGGGGGTCCCTAAGCTGCTCCAGTTGTCTTCTACTATGCGCCTTAAAATGGGACACCACGTATCCAGTGGCTGCGCTGCCCGTAGCAAGTACGCCTCGACCTCGGGCGCCGCGTCTACAGGCCACGTTCAGAGTTGGGGGGCGAGTCCGGCGGAACGGACTACAGGACACAAACGCCTTTGGACCTCTCTCGCCTCGGAGAGCCCGCCGGTGGTGGGGGTCGCGCCCACCCGGACCTCAGGGCTGGTGTGAAGAGGAGACAGAGAAGGAGCGCTTCCACCTTCCTCTAGGCACGGGCGCGGCTTTCCACCCGGCTGCAGAGGCTGCGCCACGTGGCCCGGCCTGCAGAGTTCCTACCGCTCCACCCGCCGCTCACCCCTCGATGTAGCTCTTGTCCGCCAGGTAGTCGTTGAGCACCTGGAGGCCGGGGAGGCTTTTTAGGTCACCGAAACCCATGGTGTCGGCGTCCGAGCGCGGGGAAGCGCGGAGCGAAGGGGAGCCCGGGTGCGGGCTCTAAGAAAAAGGGCGCGGACGGCCCGGAAAACTCCTTATATAGACACGGAGGCGTTTCCCTGCGGCGCCCTCGGCCGAGGTGAAAGGTCAAAGTGTCGCACTCCTCCACGTAAAAATTGGAGGATCTGAATTAAATGGCCCACACACTGTCCTCGGACCTTTCGTTGTGTTTGGAAATAGATTAATAAAAAGGGCATTTCTGAAATTCGCACCTCCGCGGCTCCCAGGAAGACGGAAGCCGCCCCTTGAAGCGCCGGAGATGACCGAAGACGCTTGGCCTCGGGGGAACCTCCTAAACACTTCCGGCGGAAGTGCGGCTCCGAGCTCCGCCCCGCCCTCTGTCAGGAGGACGGAAATTGCCGAAATCAACCTCTGGAGAAGGAAAGAAAAAAAAAAAAAAAATGCGAATCTGAGGCTTCTAGTCCCTCCTAGCTTGCCGTTCCCAGGTCTGGCCGACGGAGGTATCCGAGGCCGCCATATTGGAGAGACCCGGCCTCTGCGGGGTCGTGGTGGTCCGAGCGGTCAAGCAGAGTGGCTTGGGCTTCGGGGAGCAGGTGAGGTGGTGTTCGGGTTGCGAGGCCGAGCTGCCTCGGCTGGGATTCCGTTTCTCCACGGGACTGTTCCCTTCGGCCCCACGACTCGGTCTCCTCTTGTCCTTGACTGGGCGCCGCCGCCACCGCCACCGCCGAGAGGAGGTCAAGGCCGTTAGGAGGTGAGGGCGGCGAGGAGCTGGAGCGTGTGCGGAGGTTAGGGCTCTCAGGCAGGGGCCGGCTGTTTTGGCTGTGTGCTGTGTGCGTAGGTGAGGGCTGTGAGGAGGGGAGGTTGTGTGCGGGGGAGAGGCTATGAAGAGAAGAGGCTGAGTACTGAAGGCGCCGCCCGCCGAGGCCAGGGCCGGACAGGGCAGAGAGGAGGAGGCGTTCGGGCCGTCCAGTCCGGCAGGACCCACGTCTGGGTTCCCACTGGCCGGGCCGGTGCGGCGTCGGAGGCTGTCGCCTTGTTACCCTGTCCTGTCGCTGCCCGCGTCCGGAGGCGCGTCCGGCCCTGTGGTGGAGCGTGCAGGGTGACAGGGCGATGGTGCTCGTGGACAGGCGTTGCCGGTCTCCCTGGTCTCCGACTCAGTCGACACACGCGGAACTGGACGGCCCTGCTAGCCAGGAAAAGCCTGGAGAGCGTGAGGACCGGGCGTCTCGGCGGGGAGCCGGCGGGAATGTCCCGGGACTCCGAAGAGGAGTCCAGGGACACGAGGGCGGGGCCCGAGGACGGCGGGGCGCAGGGGACCTTGGGGCGCCGGAGGACGCCGAGTGGCAGGGGACCCGTCTCGCTGTGGGGCAGACTGGGCAGGAGTTGGGAGTGGCCTGGGGCGAAGTGTCCCCTCCGAGGGGAGGAAGCTGAAGAAGAAGGCGGTGCATGCGGGTGGAGAAGGTGAGTGGGCAATCTGAGGGATGGTGTCCAGCATGGTGTAGAGGACCTTGGTCACCAACACTCCTGTCCAGTAGACGTTCCTGTTCCCACTTGGTGTGATGCACAGATCCCGTGTTGCGAACCCTTACGTGGGGCTGGGTGTCGGCAGCCTAGTTGTGGTTGGTTTCCTATCTAAAGTGAGTACTACTTTTATGTTGTATTGAAGGCAGAATGATAATTTAAAGTTTTAAAGTTGTATGGAATGCCAAGCTGGGCAAGGTGGCTCACGCCTCTAATCCCAGGACTTTGGGAGACTGAGGCAGGAGAATTGCTGGAGCCCAGGTCACCGCAGCCTTGACTTGCTGAGCTCAGGCAATCCTTATATCTCAGCCTTCTAAGTAACTGGAACCACAGGCATGCACCCCCGTGCCTGGCTAATTTTTTGATTTATTATAGAGACAGGATCTTGCCAAGTTGTTCCAGGCTGGTCTCAAACCCATGGGCTCAGGCAATCCAAGTGAATAGACAAAAAGACTGCTAAAAGTTTGAGTAATTTTCTGTTTGCTTTGTGTGTCTGTATTTAAGTGGTGGGGTTTATGTAAACCCACTCCCGTTTATGCCGGTAATTCAGGAAGCCTTTTAGAGCAGAGTGTCTTAACTTCAGCTCTGTTGACACTTTGAGGGACTGTCTCGTGCATTGTACGTTGTTTAGCCAGCACCCTGCCTTTTGCTCACTAGATACCAGGAGCTTCTCCACATTTGTGACAACAAATAGTATCTCCAGATATTCCCCAGGGGAGTAGAATTGTCCTCATTTGAGAACCATTGTTTGAGTGCTTACTGTGTGCCAGCCCCATGGATTGGTACTGAAGATAGAAAGATTCCAGGAGTTAGTAATACTAGGAGGGCAGAACAGGCACAGAAACAGTTGCACATCTGTAAGATAATTGTACTTCTCAGCCCAGAAAGGAGCAGACAAGACACTTCAAAGGCTTGGGTTTGTGAGCTTTCTCAGGCTATCTCAGGAGCATTTAGTAGATGACTGTACTTAGAACATATGATGGTAGAATGCATATTGGCAAGAAATAAAAACAGAAAAGTAGACTTTATGTTATATAACCATTAATGACAAACTCAATGTTAGCCTAGCAGTATATTTAGTTTACTTTTAAGGTAGTGTTTTAAGTTTGATCATTTTTGTATTTTTTTTTTTTTTTTTGAGTTGGAGTCTCACTCGGTCGCCCAGACTGGAGTGCAGTGGCCGCTCCCGGCCACTGCAGCCTAGCCTGCTGGGCTCCGGCGATCCTTCCGCCTCAGCCTTCTGAGTAGCCAGAATTACAGGCATGCGCTACCACGCCCGGCTGATTTTTTGATTTATTGTAGAGATGAGGTCCTGCCGGTCTTGAACCCGCGGGCTCAGGCAATCCACTCACCTCAGCCTCCCAAAGGCGTGGGATTGCAGGCTGAGCCACCGAGCCCGGCTGTATTTTTTTTAAACTGCTCTTTTCATAGAGTTAGAAAACCCAGAGTTACACACTAGCTGTTCCTTAACTCTTGGACAATGTACAAGTCAATATCTCTGCAACTAAGTATACTCATCTATAGAATTTGAGGGAAAATATCAGGACCTGTGAATGTTCAGTGACATAATGTATTTGAAATAATTTAGAACCATAAAGCATTACCAAAAAGTTTACAATTAGGTGTTTTTTTCCCTACAATAATATCATTTTTCTTTGCTTTATGTTCAGCAATATGTTAAGGATACCTGTAAGAAGGGCCTTAGTAGGCCTTTCTAAGTCTCCTAAAGGATGTGGTGAGTATTTCTTTTTAATTTTCATTTTTGAGTAAGTAACTTTATAGGTCTTTGGAATATTTGATCAAAGACCCTAATCCATAATCTGTTTTAAGTAAAAATAGAAATGTCTGATCTAAGTTGAATAGAATAATTTTCAAAATATAATTTTACTTTAAATAATTTATAGAAATTATTAGAAACTATGCATCAGTGTCAAAATGGAAAAATCAGCCATTCTGTTTTTGAAAAGTAGTCTTCCCATGAACATATTTTTAGTGGCATTAAAAGTTTTAGTTTAAACTACTGTCAAAAGTAGACAACCATATTCTGTTTGGTATTCAGAACTGAAAAAACTTTTTTCTAATTCAATCTTTTTAAAGTATATCTAGAGAAATAGAGAGGAGTGATATAAAATGAAATGTTTTGGGTTTGTAGATAATTAATCCATTATTCTTCGCTGTAGTAAATTCAACCTCTGTTAATTTGCTTTTCCTCTCAATATTTTGGATGGTCAGTTCGAACCACTGTCACAGCAGCAAGCAACTTGATTGAAGTATTTGTTGATGGTCAGTCTGTCATGGTGGAACCGGGAACCACAGTCCTCCAAGTAGGCATTCATTCCCATTCTTTATTTTGTGTATATGTTCTGATTTTTAAAAAAAATCGGTTTATTTCCTTCATATTGTTTTATTCTAAAGAAGAATTATGCATAGCAAAGTTATATGAAAATAGTTGGTTTTATGGAGAATGAGCTTAGGCAGGCCCTATTTAGAAGTGACAGAGAGAAAGGAGTTTGTCCCCCACTGTACAGAGTTCACTGATACTGGCTTTATTTTTTATTTATTTATTTATTTAATTTTATTTTTTAGTCGGAGTCTCACTCTGTCACCCAGACTGGAGTGCAGTGGCCGCTGCCAGCCACTGCAGCCTCAACCTGCTTGGCTCCGGCGATCCTTCTGCCTCAACCTTCCAAGTAGCCGAACTACAGGCGCGTACTACCCCGCCCGGCTAGTTTTTTTTTTTTATTTATTGTAGAGATGAGGCCTTGCCAAGTTGCCCAGGCGGGTACCAAACCCGCGGGCTCAGGCAATTCACTCACCTTGGTCTCCCAAAGCTCCGGTTTATAGGTTGAGCCACTGAACCCGACTATTTTTTTATTTTTTTGAGATGGAGTCTCATTCTGTTGCCCAGGCTGGAGTACAGTGTTACACTTACAACCACCACAGCCTCAACCTACTAGACCCGGGTGATCCTTCCACCTCAGCCTTCCAAGTAGCTGGAACTCCAGGCGTGCACTACCATGTTCAGCTAGTTTTTTTTTTTGTTTTGTTTTGTTTTTTTGAGTTGGAGTCTCGCTCTGTCTCCCAGACTGGAGTGCATGGAGTGCAGTGGCCGCTCCTGGCCACTGCAGCCTCGACCTGCTGGGCTCCGGCACTCCTTCCGCCTCAGCCTTCCAAGTAGCTAGAACTACAGGCGCGCGCTACCACGCCCGGCTAATTTTTGATTTATTGTAGAGATGAAGTCTCACCAAGTTGCCCAGGCGGGTCACGAACCCGCGGGCTCAGGCAATCCACTCACCTCAGCCTCCCAAAGTGCTGGGATTACAGGCTGAGCCACCGAGCCCGGCTCCAGCTAGTTTTTTGATTTATCGTAGAGACGAGGTCTCACCAAGTTGTCCAGGCTGGTCTCGAACCCCTGGACTCAAGCAATCCGCTCACTTCAGCCTCCCAAAGTGCTGGGATTATAGGCATGAGCCACCTTGCCCGGCCTTGGATGCAGTTTTCATGTGTAAAGTGAGCTGGTGGGAAGGCTGGGATGGTGTCTGTACCATTCACTACAGCACCTACTGC